CCTCTCCCCCCACAGTGGGATGGGGAGGAGAATGGAAAAAAGTAAAACTCGTGGGTTGAGATGAAGACAGTTTACTAAGACAACAAAGGAAATAATAATAATAGTAAATAATTTTCAAAAGAACCATGACGCAATACAATTTTTCTCACTGCCTGATGACTGAGTTGCAGCCAGTCCCCGAGCAGCAATCGCAGAACTTGCGGATTTTCCGACACTCCTAAAAACGTTCGAACTCATGGAAAATTTTCAACTCCTGGGAAAAAAAAGATTTCTGCCCACCTGGCCAATGCCCATTTATAAACTGAACATGATGTCTATGGTATGGAATATTTCCATCGGCCAGCTTGGGCTAGCTGCCTGGCTGTGGTTCCTTCCAGCTCTTGTGCACCTCGTTAGCTGAAGGTGGGCGACAGGAGGAAGTCCTTGATTTCTTAGCAACAACTGAAAGCATCGGTGTTATCAACATTCTTCTCATATTAAATCCAAAACACCTGGAGGAAAATTAACTCTATCCCAGCCGAAACCAGGACATGTACGTATGGCTATCTTAAAGGGTGCATAAACAAAAAGCAAATCAAAAGAGGAAACAGAGACAAATATGAAATAATCTGTTCTAGCTAAAAACAGACAAAAAACTCAGTAAGAGCAGCGGTAAAGCCTAATGAGATACAGCCTGTTGAGTTATAGTCCATTTCTTGCTGTTTGTGTCCACCAGTGAAGTGGCCCAGAGTACTCTGGTTCTAGCAACACCTGGTCTTGTGCTCCACAATTTTTAATAACATAAGAGCTGCAGGTGAGGAGTTGCTTATTTTTCTAGGAGATTTTAGCAGGAGATACCTAAATGAGTGGTCTGCTTTCTCAAAGTGTGCTGGAAAGACTCCAGTTCTGAGGCTGAAGCCGATTTCCTTTCTACTTCAGACTTTCTATAGGCGTAACGTATAGGTCTGCTTCAGACCTGGAAGTCTTCCCTAGCTACGGCTTGACTGCTGTAGATGTCCTGCGGCAGATTATGGCTATATCTGGAAGTGCCAGACACGCTGAAGGTATCTGATCTGCACTTGCAGAGCGGTTGCAGTGTGCCCGACACGCTGGCAGTGCTCTGGGGCACAGGGACACACGCTGGTGATGTGGGAACAGAAACGTGGGATTTCTCACCTTTGCTTTAGGCGCGTCAGTGGGATTCGTCTTGCCTAATATATGTATCTAAAAGTTAGGGATCTAAGCCCTTTGTAGTCAATGGAAAGAGGTGGTAATGTTCTTTAGCATAGCTAATCTCTCTCACTGACAATAGAGAAACCCTAGATCACGAGCTTAGACTAATTGCTTAGCTTCAAAGGTGGGATTTAGCCATCTAAAACAGTAAAATACTATCAAATTAAAGAGTAGCTTTTCACACCTGTACAAAACAAATGTGATCTGAGCCTAAATAACTGCACAGAGCAGCAGATATCCGAGACTTAGGCTGCAAGTCCCTCTTGTGAGAAGATGTATTATAAATGTTTGTGTGACTCACAATAATTACACTGTTTTATATAGCTTGTAGTGTTCTGTATTATTGTCTCACTGCTCTGCAGTTTATTGGGTTTTTCCATTTTAAAGATGGAGATGTGAGCAAAAGGTTAATTGGCTTGCATGGGATCTGACACAGGGACACGTGGTGAAATGGGGAAATGAATCAAGGCTTTCTATTCTTCTTGTGATTGCACTCATGATTTTTGGGCCGTTGTCCTGGACACTTGTCTACCATTTCTCAGTCATAAAATGTAGTTCATTGCTTGGCTGTTAGTATTGCTTTAGTGTAGCAAAATGCCATTAAATTTTGAGCTTCTGAATATTTTAAAAATACTGTAAACAGATGGAATGGTCAAAGAATAATCTGAAGCAGAGATAGAGAGTAGAAGGCATATTTTAATTTGATATAAATTACTCATTATTACTGATTTGCCACAGAAATTTTGATCATTTTGCCTCTGTAAATGACTGGTGTTCCTGTGGCCTTTCAAGGATTTGCAACATCATATGATTAGTTTAGCAAACTCGTAGGCCATACATAGGCAGCTTGGGTTTACACTAAATATGGGGCAACGAAACTATTAAACTTCCACTGCAAGTAATTTGTGCAGAATATTCTGCAATACATACATGTCAGTTACGAATCTACAATCAATTTTCATGTTAAATGTTGAATTTAAATTCCACAGCTGGACTTTCATCTTGAAAGAAGCCAGATAGCCCTGTGCATCTGGTTTAATCTTCCCTTTAGCCATATTATTTTAAAGGCACTCCTGCTTAGTACATCTTACAATTGAAAAATAATACTCATCTTCCTTCTCATCCTCAGCAGCTGTGATCCCTCTGCAGATGTTGTTCTGTCAGACGTTTCATTATGTGATAGAAAGCGTAGGGTCTTTTTGTCTGTCTGTGTTACTGCTTTGTGGATTTTATTTTCTTTTTATTTATTCCTTTGGCCACAGATGAGCCCTTCCATAATACTTCAGTTTATTTCCTATTGCTGCTGCTTTGCCTTCTTTCTGAGTACAGAAACGATCAAGAACTTGCAACTGTGCGGAGCGGCCCAACAGAAGCCCATTGATTCCCCACCAAAGGGCTCTGTGTGAGCCATTCTACTCCAGCCTGAAAAGAAAGCTTTGTTCCTTCAGCTGGTAGTGTCTTAAGATGCTGATCCTTGCCATATTTTTGGAAAACTGTAGCAGTTCATCAGACTGTTTGACACTTCCCGTTCAGCTGTATATTCTGTAGCATACTCTGGTATTTGCCTCTTCTCATACCTCAGTCTCATGAGCGCTAGGCTGGTCTGGAGCAGCCCAGGCGTCACCGTGAGTTATGCTGGGCACAAGTCATTTGGAGGTGAACGGTGAAGGAGGAGGAATCTGGAGTGCTGGTGGCCATGCCTGAAATGGTCGTATTGGAATTAGTATTTGGGGCAGGAGGTATGGGATTTGTCATGTTGGCTGAGTATTTTCCTGGCCGCCTTCCATGACTGTTCAGATATTTTTAGCATCAAGTGCAAGCTATGTTTTCTCAGTTGACCTTGGAGCATGACATTTTAACATGGAATTGGTTTAAATTGCTAATCATTAAAATGATTTATTATTTTTTATTACAAAAGCGACTGGAATCCCAGTCATGTTTTGCAGATGAAAAGGGAAGCAAATTGAAACCTGTCTTCTCTTGACTTGCAGTCCTTCATGATACCCATGTTCCCTAAACTTTCTGTCTTCGGCTCTTCCTCTCTACGTCATTAGAAGTAGATTATGCTTGGGTTTGTTTTTCAGCTTGTCTTTTGGTCATTTGACAAATATTATATCAGAATGACCGAAACTAATCCCAAGGTCTCACAGTGCTCAACGAGAAGTGTAGAACAAAAGGATCGTTTCTGTTGCAAACAATTTATGACCTTAATAGAAGTTTACAGCTGCTATCAGGAAGGCAAGATCTTGCTGTCAGTATATTTACGCTTGTGATTGCTCCCTCTTTGCCTTCACTCCCAGACTCAAGTTTACCAGAAAGATCAAGCCCATAAATGCCAACTTCTGTTAAGGAATTAGAAGCAGTAACACTACATTGGTCTGTTGTAGCAGTATATTTTAAGGCTGTGCTATGTAATCTAGGAAAAGAGGTTCAGACCAACCACACATATAGCCAGAAGTCTACAAAAGTTTAAATTCAGGTTTTGAGGTCTAGATCTACTTCTAGCTTAGTGTATTTGACTCCTGCTGGGCTTTTTGAGTAGTTCTTGGTTTTGAATTATTCAAGTTTACTGAGTTTTGCATGTTCTTATGTTAACAGGAACTCAGAGGAAATAACAAATTTTTAAGATGCATTTTATTGCCACAGTAGTGCAGAGAAGCCTTTGACTGAAAAAAGTGTCCAAGTCTTGTTGACTTTTTCAGTCTACTGAATAAGCACCTATTTGAGAATCTGATGTAGATTTTCAAAAAATGAACAAAAACCCTCACCCATCCTCCTGCCTCAAAAGTAGCTGCATGGTTTAAAGATTTACCCAGCAGAAGCTGAAATCACGATGTGAAAATAACACTCTCTTTGACTACCTTGGCCACTGGGAAGACCACAAGCTGTTTATACAAATGACATGGCAGATCTCCCAATTACAGCCGAAGAGGCCGTTTGCCTGAAATCACTGTCATGCTATAGTTCCTTTTATATATGGGAAATGCGTATATAATTGAATAATGCAAGCCCCTTCCCATCTGTGAGAACTCTGCCATAGCCAAGTGTAAGGGTCTGGTTTAAAGCGAATTCAGTTACTGTGTAACAGAGTTGTGTTTTGGAGGGGTTAAAATCAGAGGGGGTTTGGACTTGTGTTTTGTAGGGGTTAAAATTGCCAAGAAAAACTGAAAACTTGAAGAAGATCCCCAGGTGCCTGCATTAATACTCTGCAGTTCTCTCTGATGTGAGCTGGCAGGTCCCATAAAGCCACTCAGCCTTGAACGTGGAAGGGAAGGAGGGAGACAGCGAGAGCTCCAGCTGCGATTCCAGAGCCCCAGAAAGAGCCTCTAACCCAGTTCCCTTCAAGCGCACAAGCCTCAGGAGCCACAGCATCTGTTTGCCACTGTATTCGCTGAGTTCGCAGGGCAAACAAAAGATCCATACAAAGCATGCATCCTTCCAGAGGGGCAAAGAGCCTTCCCTCATCTGCCCATAGATTTTTCCCCTCTTTGCTTTCAGGCTTTCTTTTTTTTTTTTTTTTTTCTTTTGAGGAGGGAAGCTGTTGCTTATTTTTTTTTTGGATGGTAATTAAGAGAGCTAACACCAGCTAGGCTAGAGTGAACGCAAACAAGACCCCTATAGGCAGCACAGTGCATTAATGTAAAATATGCCCAGACAACATAACTTGTCAGAGAGGATTATTTCTGCTTAGTGAATCTGCAGGGGCCCCTTTGCTCCACCACTCAGCGGCTGACTAGAGAGAGAAAGAGAGAAAAAATAGCCATTAGTGAGTAGCTACTGTGGCATTGATGTTTGAGCGCACTTCTGAACTGGCTTTTGTTGAGAATATCGGTGCAGAAAGCATGCGCTGTCCCAAATCCGCTGTTACTATGAGAAATGAGGAGCTGCTTTTAAGGTATGTTGTCTCCTTTGTTTTAACGCGTGCTTTCGAGTTGCCTGGGCCCGCTGCAACTATAACCGTGCCGTGTATTAAGTAGTTTCCCTATTTAAAGGAAAAGACAGGCATTGCTGTGTGCAAGTAGCATTTTCCACTAGTTCGAATCGCACATTTCATGTATGACGACAAATGTACGGAGAGGGCAAGGGGGGGAGGGAAATATATATACCTTCCCCCCCCACCCCAAATGGTAGCTGGTATTTCTTTTATCACCTCCTTTGCAATATTTATGCCTGCTTCATTATTATGCACTGGGCATGGAATAAGCATGGAAAAAGCTAAGGGAGACTCCATATTAGAGCTAGTGCCCTAAATACCACTTTAATTTTCACTTAGCCTATGTAAGTAGTTACTAAGGCTCTACCTAGTCTTCACCACTTGAAGATGTTTTAAAAATATCTAAATGCTCCCATATGTGGGGTTACACATATATTCTTAATGTTTCAAGCTTTAGCGGGGGGCCAGCATCGACTACTCTTTTCAGAGACACACACACACACGCTGACACACGCACACACGCACATACACATAGAATTATGCTAGAATGGGCACCCCACTTTGAAAAATGTAGTCTTTTGTTTATTTGCTAGCAGACATTGTAGCATTGAATACATCTTTTGGTCTGACAATGGGACAGCTGAACAATGGTGCTGTCAAACTAGCTTAATGTACGTCTGGCGACGGGGTGGCTTGGGTTTTTTTTTCCTTTCCTTTTCTCAGCCCCTTTTTTATTTCCCTTAATCTTTTTGTATGTACGGTGGAATATGAAGTGTATTGCCTATTTTGTGATGGTTGTTTCATTTGATATCGGCTGCTAATAGGGCAGGGAGGGGGAGGTTGGCATCTTACAATTATGCCTATTGCATTAAGTTGGAGATTTATTACTAACCTCTCCTTTAACCGTGGTGAGAAAACTTACTGATTCTGAAAGCTTACAATACTGCTGTTAGTCTGGCAAATACATAGTTGCCAGATGTGCCCTTGCCTGATTTTATGCCTGATCATATCAACTTTAACTGCTGTTTTGAAGATACTGTTTCTAATTTTGTTTAGGTAATGAAAATGCAGTAAAAATGATAAATCGGATCTCAGAGTGAGAGCCCATCCTACTTTCCATTTTTATAATCCAGCTATTAGCATATGTTAGAATTTTTAAGGTCAGGCAGAATAATTTACCTGGATGATTCCTATCCCAAAATCTAAAAAATTATTCATATGACATTTCATGAATTATCTTTCTGTTTAGACAGCCATAGTTTAGTGTTAGAACAGTTAACAGTTTTGGGTTTGAATTTGGCAAAATGCTCATGTGCCTCATGCATTATAAAAGGACATTGACATAAAGCGTTGGAAAAATTTGGAGTTACTACTCGGGCAGCAGCTTGTGTCTCAAAATGAATTGTTGTCAGTCTGTGGAGTTTCAGAAACTGTTTAAAGTCTTTAAATACTTTGCATGTTAAGTAAATATATTACTTTTAGTAATAATTGGAATCATTTTCTGAGAGAAAAGAGAGATATTTATCAGTGGTTTCTATTTTTTGCTTAGATCAGTTAATTGTAGGGGTTCCGTACTTTTTTTTAAAGTGGATTCTAGTGCATGATTTATGTGGGTTGAGGGGTCTCTTGGACATCTTAATTAAAAAAAAAAAGATATTAAAGATTTATTGGTAGCGCTCAGAGCTTGCTAAAGCATGTATTTTCAACCAAAAAATGTTTTATGGGGAGGCTCTGAGTACTTGCTATTCTTTTTTGCATTAATTTTATTGTTGTTGCATCTCCTTCCCTTGTGTGTTGAGACGGTGTAAATCAATAGGAAAGAGTTTACGTGAACAAAAAGGTAATACCACATAAATACGCTAGAAGCCTCGAGGTTATGGATTATCAGGTAGTATTTGTGTGCTGTGTGTTGTGCATAAACATGAAGAAAGCACGGCTGGTCTTTAATATAATAGGAGCATGCTATAATTCACTTTCTTGGAAGAACTTCTCTCGAGACGAACATTAACTCGTTCACAGCTGCTCTGCTCTGCCGGAACTGGAGGGGGGGGGGTATTTTTTTTATCAAGTTACCCTGCTTCAGCCTGGGCTTTGGAGCAGCTGCTGCCCTTTGTGAGTGGCAATGAAGTGAATCCCTCGCTCCGGATGACACGGCAGTGTCCCGCTAGTGCCTGCCCGGAGTAGGGTGAATGCCACTTTTGTAGCAGCCACCGCCAGGCACCTGGGCAGCGTACCCCACTGCCACTTTTAAGGACTATTCAATACTAAAACTGTTTCCTAAGCGCTCTTCTCACAGGTGAGTTCATACTAAACTTACAGTAGTTCCTATGTTTTCAGATGAAATGCTGCATAAAGTACATATACTACAGATTTTTGTCTTGCATTGCCAATTACTTTGTTCTTTTCTGAGGGTATTTTCTGATGTTGCATTCACATCAAAGACCAATTCTTGAATTATTCTGTGTGAACCCTACTCCAAAAAAAAAAAAATTTCTTTCTATGCATATTTACTGAGATATTGCTTTTTGAGCCATAATAATTATTATTAACATCAAAGAAGGTGAAGCAAATCTGTAACACAAGCCATTTCTTAGCATGCTCTAACAAAAGTGTCGGCTTTTGAGAGACTAGGTTTGGAGATCTTGTGCGTGAACATCGCAGGTGTGCTTAGCGTTACCTGTTTTGAATCTCACCCATTCACAAAGCAATGTGGTGCCTTGCAGTTGTCAAACTTGGCAACATCTGTTTCCACAACAGCACCAAGAGAGCTAATTCAGACTCTGCAGGAGTTGGTATTTGTTCTTGCAATGACCAGGTGTCATGCCAAAAAGAAAGATTGTCCTCGGTCTTACCTGTCCGAGCAAGAGCAGGATAGGTCTTGACCTGGGAACTGGCATTCCGTGCTGCCATAGGACATGGAAGTGAATTATATTTATTTATTAGCCTGGAGTCTTTGTCTACATTTTCTTTTTTTTTTTTTTTTTTCAGATTCATGAACCACAATCTCTAACGTCAACATGTTAATATTCTCTTTGTTACATGAGAATAAAACTGAAGTGTTTCTGTTATCAAATTTAAGTATATAAGATTGCAAACTATACCTTTGGGGCTGAAAAACAAAGGAGAGCATTCAATTAATATTCATATCTAGAAGTTTTACTGCAAGTGTAGATTGTGCTTGAATACTTAAGAAGTCATTCAGGAGTGAATCAATACTAATTATTGTAATCAGGAGGGTTAATTAGCTGAAGATGCTGCTGATGGAAAGTTCACTGCTTGTAGCCCTGAAAACACCTAAGTTGATGAAATCTGAAAGGAAGATGTCTGAGAGGACTTTGTATGGAGAGAAAAGCTTGGCTTTCCTTTGGCATTTCAAGAGCCAGTCGTTCCAAAGGGGAAACAGAGCTTGTACTTTGTGTTTTGCATGGTATTAACTCAGGGGGTATTAGAAGATGCAACTAAATCTGTCTTGAAGATTTTTTGTGTTAGTTTCTCATTAAATGCAAGTACCATTTTGGATAACCTGTACTGTCTCTGCAGCATTTATTTGTAGATTACCATAAATTAATATGTATAATCTTATGCATTTGAGATCTTGTTCCAGCACTGTTACTGGGAACAGGGTTTTTTTTTTGGTTTTTTGGTGTTTTTTTCACCATTGGCTTGCAGGCAAGGGTCTTTACATGGCATATGTACATAAATTACACGTGCTCTGCATCTGCTATACAGATATACATCTGTGTGCGCGTGTACACACATGCACACGTGCACAGAAGTTTAAACATTTGTTTCATTGCAGGTGTTTATTTCTGTAGTCCTGTGCCCTCAGAACTCCCACTTAGTTTCCATCTGCAAAAAAAAGTATTCAACTACATATAATTCAGAGGACAGTTGTTGAACAAGTAGTTCATGAAATTTAAGTTAGAAGGAATAAAGACTGGAAAGAAATGACTGAAGAGAATCCTTTCCTTTTCCCTTAATTAGAGCAGTTGTGTTTCTAAAAGTGAGCATTGCTGAATTCAAGCAAAATCTAGCTATACAAAATCTTTGTGACAAGTGAATTGCGAGAAGATTTATTTCTTTAATACTGAGTGTATTAGGGTTTCCCCCCCCCCCCTTTTCCCCTAGTTATATCTGTTAAGGTTATAAGCAGGATGAATGTCTGGATTTTTATTCGAGCAAAAAACCCAACACCACAACCCCCCCACCCCCTTTCAGTTTCCCACACACACACTCAGATAAACCCCCCGAAGTCCAGTGATGCTTTCAGAGGAAAGAAATTCTGTTTCAAAACACATCCTTCTTTCCTCTCTAATGACATTAGAGATTATCACGTGCAGGTGCTATTTATCTTTGCAACTGGTTGCCTATGACTGTTTTACTGCTTCCAACACATTTACTTGTATGTCAGCCATAGAAAAGGTAACTGAAAATGGCAGCTGTTGAGAAAGCATGTCGCCATGCCTGGAATGACATGCATTATCGGGGCAGCAGGAGTTGCTGGCTCCACAGCCCATTTCTACTTGACCTGCGGAATGATTGGCTGCCCGGCATGGTGATGAATCACTGGAGTTTATGAAACAGGACTGCTGGCATCCTCACAGAGGAAATAAAAACGGGATTTCTTTTTTTTTTTTTTCCTCCCCCCTCTAACACTCTTGCCATGGCAAAAAGCTTTTTATGTTTTGTTTTGTTTTGCTTCTGTGTTATTTCACCCTGCAGCGGAAGTAAATGTGTCAATTAAAGTCGCTTTAATGCTGTTCTTGGCACGTTAATGATGCACTGAAGGTTAACTATCTTTATTGGATGGAAGGGGGCAGGAATTTTCCCAAATTTTGTGTAAATCTTGATCTGGACCGGAATTTTCTCATCCCTCACTCCGGTCTTGAGAGAGAGAGCATAGCTAGTAATCAGCTCGAGCAGGATGCAGAGAGGATTTTAGCTGTTCTCACACACAACTT